GAACTCAAAAGTTTTCTATGAAACTTCCCTTCTGCAACCCAGTTCTCAAGGTTCAGTGTATATAACTAATCTCTCTTTTGGGTTCCCATTACATGTAACGTGTCCAATATTCTATACGGTCTTTTATTAATGGTTAATGGTTTCACAAAGATATCTCTGAAGTCTGAAGGGCAGTTAAAGAGAAGCATTATTATAGACTCTATTTAACATTCTTAGCTGAGTGTTACGGAGGTCATTGAATAACTTGATTAAAAGAGTTCACAAACCGTCGCATTAGATGAACAAATTGCATATACACATAAAGGGCACACAGTGCTTGCCTCTAAAGCAGCCTGCTTATGGACAAATGGCAGATGCTAGCAGATTGTTTCAAGGTCCGGGTAGGGTTGTAGAGCTGGTGGGGGTGGTGACAGGGCCACTCCACAATGCTTTTTCCTTGTGCTGGGCTCAGGTAAGTACGTCAGTTACCAAACAAGGGACGATTTAAAAGAGGTTTTAAAAGCTTTCCTGTTGTAAATTGAAATGCCATTATTACTCGAGGATCATCCAGCTAGCTCTTTTATCCAAAGGCAAAGAGGCCTGGGAGGGTAGTGTGGTTTTGAAACGTGCCTTCCAGCCAGCTGAATGGAAACTGATAGTGAAAAGAGTGCAGTGAACCAACAAAGGGCAACACCTGGATGTTGTGTGACACGGAGGTTCTGACCGAGCAAAAGTGAAGAGAAAGACTAGTACCCAGAAAGGAAGCAAGAGGAGGAAAGGAGATGCTCTAAGAAGTATGAGCCAACCTCACAGGTTTGCCTGGGGCTGGCAGGACTCTAATCTTCATGGAGTGGCTGCTGGCAGAGAAAGAGGTAGTATCCTAGTATCTGGTATTCACTACAGCATCGTCAGAATGCAGAGAAGGAATGTTGGGTTGTCTTTAACTTATGGCAGAAGTTACAGCAGGGAGAAGGAAGCCAACAGGAAACAGTTAGGGCTTAACAAAGAAGGAGGCACCGTGGAACAGCTGAGACCAATGAATGGGTTCAGGTATTCATGAGGGCGCAGACGGGGAGCAGCACAATCAGAAGGAGGTCAGGGGCAAGACTGAACTGAGAAAAGCTGCCATCTTGTGCCAGGTGTTAGCTCTTCCTTCTTCATTTCTAACATCTGTATCTTTCATCCTTGCCTTTCCTGCACTCACACACCACCTCATCTCAGTTCTTAGAGGCTCGTCTCAGAAGCAGATAGTCACGCTGGACATGCGATCTCAGTCTTTCATGCCAAACTTGGCCTGTGCTCTAAGCCTTATCCCAAAATGCACAAGACGTGAAGAAATGATTTCATCTTTTTTATTCTCAAAATATGAATCGTATTAAAATACAAGCGGTATTAGACTGGGCGAGCTGACCCTTGTGTGAGCCAGACTGAAGTCTTCAGGAATGTGAAATCATCTTATCTCAAAGAGACAGCAGTAGGTAATGGGCCGCAAGTTCGCACAGTCCAAATCACAGCCAAGGCATATATACGGCTGTGTGGTAGGGCTTGGGCTCTAGCTCTTGGGGAAGAATAGGGCTAAAAACTATTTGGAGAACCAAGCAAAAGAGGAGCCAGCACAGAAGGGTCTGGTGGAAGAAATGGTGAAATCTTCCACTCCTTTCTCCTATTACTTAAGGGCAGAGGCACATGACCCCAGCAAGGAGCCAAAGTACTTAGTTACTACTTGGATCCCATTAGGAAGAGGCCAGACCTCTCCAGAGCTGGTTAATTGCCTTTGCCAGGCAGTGGAATACTGGCCATAAGAGTAGAGACAAACTGTTCCAGTTTCTTTGCAGCATTCTTCCCAGACTCTATTACTTCCTCATGAGTGGCCTTCTCCTTGGTTTCATAATCCAGGATGACTTTGTTAGTGATGAGGGAGAAGCCAAAGACTCGAAGTCCACAGTGCCTTGCAACTATAACTTCTGGTACTGTGCTCATGCCTGATGAGAGAGAAAACAACTGTCAGGGTCCTCAAATGAGTCTTCTATACTCTCTGCCCTCATCCCCATTGATTACCTCATTGACAATCTAACATTTCAAAAAAGAAAAACAAAAACATACAAAGAAATACTTATTTTTTGTCTAGCTTAGGATGATCTGTATTGCTTAAAAGAGTGGGGCCTCACACGCCCTTACACATTTCTTGTAAGGAATACCATTGCAATGCTTTATTTCTATATCTGTTTTGGTCATTTTGACGTCAGTTCTAACGATATGGTTCCATCTTCCAGCCAGAGGTACCTATTTTTTAGAACAATCCTTAGAAACATCAAATCATGGGGCACCTGGGCGGCTCAGTCAGTTGAACTTCCAACTTTGGCTCAGGTCATGATCTCACGGTTCGTGGGTTCGAGTCCTGTGTTGGGCTCTGTGCTGACAGCCAGCTCAGAGCCTGGAGCCTGTTTCAGATTCTGTATCTCCCTCTCTCTCTGACCCTCCCCTACTCATACTGTCTCTCTCTCTCTCTCTCTCTCAGAAATAAATAAAAACATTTAAAGAAAAAAACCCATCAAATCATGGATGGGTCATTAGCATTATAGCCATTAAAGCCCTAGATGCTGGGTAGGGACAGTTAATGTTATAACATACCAAACCTCAACACCTTAAAGTCAGTTAAACTCAATCTTCCTTAAGTCAGATCCTCTCCCAATTTACAATCTAGGTCTACAGTCTTATACCTTTCCATCCCTATTTTACCAGACCCCTCCCAGGTCAAGCCTCCAGCCCGAGTTCCCCTTCTCACCAACAGCATCGGCCCCCAGCTTCTGCAGCAGCCGACACTCTGCCACAGTCTCAAAGGAGGGGCCTGCCAACATCACATAGGTGCCTTCCTGCAGCTCTCTCTGCTCCCCCATTTGTTTCCAGACACTGTAAGCCTTCTGCCTCATATCCCGGTCATAGGCATCAGACATGGCAGGGAAACGAAGTCCAAACCTAGGGCACAGGTTGGAGTCTCAGATTATTGGAACATCATGAGTTCTGACTCCCAGACAGGTTCTTAAATTGTACCCAACTATTAAAAAAAAAAAAGAAGAAGCGTAAGATACATACCTTTCCTCATTGGGCCCGATGAGAGGGTTAAAACCAGAGAAACCAGGAAGGTTGATGTGGTCGCGGATCAGCATGATATCTCCAACCTCAAACTTGGGATTGAGTCCTCCAGCTGCATTGGTGACCACTAGGGTGTCCACACCCAGAAGGGAGAAAACCCTCACCGGGAATGTCACCTTACAAACAAAACATAAAAGATCAGAAAGTGTTCTTTAATATTTTACCAACCCACCCACACGTATATGCATGATACACACCATGAAAGAGAAAGGAGGAGACCAAGTCATCCTAGCCCAGGTAGCTAAATCATCAAGTGAGCCAAGAACTCTCTCCCTCTTCCCACTGGATCCAACTGGGCTTATGCCTCTGATTTACCTTTGAGAGTGGGTAGCCTTCATACATGTGGAACCTGCCCTGCATCATCACACAGGCTCTGCCATTCAGGAACCCAAACACCAGTCGACCGGCGTGGCCTGGCACTGTGTACAAAACAGAAAAGAAAAAGAACGGGATGATGTTTTCATACAACACAATTCCCTGGAGCATCTAGTACAAGCCAACTCATGGTGCTCAATTTGAGAGGGTATAATTAAGCAAAAGCTCCCCACACAGACATAATAACCATTATTACCATTTCTCATATCTGGCATTTCTCCTCTAATGGAGGCAGGTAACCTATCCCCTAGGGAATGGGTGGTCGAGAGAAGGACCAAAATCAAGAAGAAGTGTTCAGGGATAGTCAGAGACAAGGGTTATTTAAAAAAAAAAAAAATACCAGTAATAGAGCAGAGGTGACAGGGTTAGGAAAACCTGAGTATAAAAAATAGGCTGATAAAGTTTAAAAATTAATTCACTAATCATTTAGTGCAGTGCCCTTCTCAGTGGGAGGGAGGAGTGGCAGGTAGGACCAATGTCATTGCTATTTCCCATAGAAAACCTTGCTCTTTGCCCTCCTTTTTAATGTTTCTTTACCCAACCCCCACCCCACCTCCCTGCTTTGGTCTTCTAATCTTGCTCCTAAGGGTTTGAAAAATATCTGTGCAAAGTCTTAACTCTCTGGGGAAAAGCGGAAGGAAGGTAGACATTTTTAAAATTAATAGATAAATCATGGGAAGTTAGTTATCTTGGAATTAATAAGTAAACAAAATAAACTACCTTTGTCCTTATTTTACTTGGTCCCCCTAATCCCTTTTTTTCCCAAAGAACTGGCTATGGTTGTTAACCTAACAAGTTTCATGAGCCATTAGTAGAAAATGTCAGTGTAAATATAAAAGATTCTGCCAACATGGGAGGGGTGGAGAGCAGTGACAGGGGGACCTGGGTGGCTCAGTCTGTTGTTAGGTGTCTCTTGATTTCAGCACAGGTCATGATCTCATTGGTCCTGGGATCCAGCCCTGAGTCAGGCTCCTTGCTGACAGGGCAGCAGAACCTGCTTAGGAGTCTCTCTCCCATTCTCTACACAACCCCACCCCCACCCCTGTTCTCTCTCTCAAAATACGTAACTTAAAAAAAAAAAAAAAAAAACAAGGGGGAAACTGGGAGGCTCAGTTAGATAAGTGCCCAAATTTGGCTCAGCACATGATCTCAGTTTGTGAGTTCAAGCCCCACATAGGACTCGGTGCTGACAGCTCAGAGCCTGCAGCCTGCTTGGGATCCTGTCTCCCTCTCTCTGCTTGTGCTTTGTCTTTCTCTCAAAAATAATAAACATTTTAAAGTTATTTAAAAAAAAAAAAAAGACTCAACCAACTTGGAGAATAGTGAAGGGAAGTAGAGAGTAGTGAAGGGCAGTGCAGAGCCACTCCGGGAATTGCCCACCATACACCCATAAACCCTCAGGGTTAATCCAAGTTATCACTTATAGGAAACAATCACCTTCTCCACCTCATTTTTCTTTCATACCGGTCTACTTTTTCAGTGTTAAAAGGGGATGGACAGATCGTGATTCTCAAGCATCTCACAAAGTAGGTGGGTCACTTTGGGGGTAACCTTTACTTGCCCAAAAATTCATCTTACATTAGCTGTGAGGATTCCGGTGTTACCCTGAATTATTCTTTTTCTTACTCATGAAGTTTAAGGCATGCCCCCCCCCGCTTTTTTTTTTTTTACAGTAAAGGCTACCGCCAACATGAGACTCAAACTCGACCACCTGAGACCAAGAATTGCATGCTCTACCCACTGGGCCAGCCAGGTATACCCTATGCCTGGCCCTTTTCTAAACCACAGACTTATAGTTTTCTGGTTGTTATCAGGATGCTGGAAAGCTACCCTCAGATCTGTCATTGCTCCATGGGGCACAGGGAACATTGCTTTTTCCCCCCTTCAAACGGCCACTGTGTTCATTTGTTGGTGTGCACCAGCGAGTGCCTTATCCTGGGACACGAGCTAGAGCTGGGGAGGTTGTACCTGGCAGGACGACACAGGACAGGGGTCACTTGACTTTGTCCCAGGAAGTTACAGGCACTACTTTGTCCATTTAACATGCAGACTGAAAGAAATGGGACGGATGTGTGCAGGTGGTGGGTGACCATGGTGTGGATGGGGGAAGAGAGTGCACGTGAGGTGCTACAGAGCTTCAAGGCGCTCGGAATCATTACAGCCTAGAAATAGATCCTCATATGCTACCATTGCCACACACTATGTCCCTCCTATTATGAAATTTCTACTGGGGGAGGTTCCATCTAAAGTCATTCTGATTCTTAGTGGTCTCTTTTCCCTCTCTTAAACAGGTTGTCTTTAGTCAAATGCTATACAGGATAGTCAGGTGCAGGCCTGGTAAAAGCACAGCCTTCTCATCAGAATCCCATTACTATCCCTCAGTCCAGACCCTCACTCCTCTTTGCCAGTACCTGTACTTTGGGAAAAGTTTGGTATCTCACTGTAGTCAAAGCTCTGGGCCTCAGTTAATTTATTGGCGAGATCTCCTAGCCCAGAACCACAGATCACTGCTACTTGAGGTCGGTGCTTGGTGTGGCACAGAAGCCACTTTGCGGTATTCTGATAATCTTCATACGTAAATCTAGGGAAAAAAGAAAATCGAGGTTATGTTTTGCTCCCATTCCAAGGGCATCATAGACTAAATGACCTTCAGTGAAGAGGGCTTCTAGAAGTGCTGGGCAGGGATAAACTCAATTTCCTTTTGGACTTTTGCCCTCCAATTCCTCCTTCAGACACTCTTATTGGTTGACAAAAAAAAAAGGCAATAGGAACACTCCATGGTAGAAATCTATGTGCCAGTAGGTTCTCCCAGATTCCTGTATCTGGGATACCCAGACCAGTACAGATCCCTGTCAAGTGAACTGCAAAGAGGAGTTCAAGACCAGTGACTAATCAAGCCCCAAAAAGCAGAAGGAGTCCACAACTTTGGATGTCAGTGACTAAAACAGAACTGTTTTAGCATCTGGTTGAAAATACAAATTCTCAGCCCACCCCTAGAGATCCATAATTCCGGGGAGTATCCTTGGCATCTGTATTTTTTTTTTTTTAAACAAGTGTCCTAAATAATTCTGATTCAAAAACCAGGTTTAGTTCCGTCTGGTCTAGAGGAAGGCAGAACTCAACTTGGGTTCTGGTCTCAATTCTATCTTTCTAAGCAAATAAATATGTTTCAAATTCCTTCCTCAGATAAAAGAAAGGAAGGTAATTGGTCGCACCTATCTTGACCCCCCCCCCCCCGTCTTATATATACAGTTTGAAAATTAAAAATTTATCAGGAAGTTCCAAAGACCTTAGACTCCACTGTCAGGGTTAGAGTCCAAAGCACTTGATTCTTCCTCCCTGCCCTCTCCTATCTCCAATCTCTTCACCCAGAGGTCTCTTTGCTGTTCAGAGACCTAACCACATGTGCTTACCATACCCACACATCCCAACCACATACAATTAACTATACCCATACATCCCCAAGAACCAACCCAGAACTCCTCACAACTCCAGTCCAATTCTCAAACACCCATCTGGAAAAATCAAAAGTTGAAGGAGGGACAAGTGGAACTGAGGTGTGACAGAGCTGAACACAGCTAACCAAGCCTCCAAAGGAAAGCCTTCTCTTCAAAACTAGAACCTTTGAAACCAGATGACTCTACAACAGGCTACCCTCAGGGAAGTAGCTGGGTGAGGGACAGGGGTGGGGACAGGGAAGCTGGAACTACAGGATGCTGGAGAGAGAAGCAATGAAATGGTAAAAAGTTAATCAAAGAGCATCCCCAAGAGGTGCAAAAGAAATGAAAGAAGTAGGGAGCCCTGGCCACCTAGCATATGTAGCAACTGCTTATAGGACTTGTTCAATTAAGGATTTCCTTCTCTCCTTGGAGACTTCATCCCCCAACTTATTTAAAATTTGTCTTTTAGGGCCGCCTGGTTGACTCAGTCGGTCAAGTGTGGGACTTCAGCTCAGGTCAGGATCTCGCAGTACTTGAGTTCCAGCCCTGCCTTGGGCTCTGTGCTGACAGCTCAGAGCCTGGAGCTTGCTTGGGATTCTGTGTCTCCCTCCCTCTTCTCTCTGCCCCTCCCCAGCTCACGCCGAGTCTCTCTCAAAAATAAACATTAAAATATTTTGTGTAAATAAAAAAAATTTTTTTTTCTTGCAACCAATGTGAGGCTTGAACTCACGACTCTGAGATCAAGAGTCACATACTCAGAGAACTCAGCCAGCCAGGCGCCCTGTGCCCAACTTACTTTAATTGGATCTCCAAACTGGAGGGAAAAGAGGTGCTGAGAGGAATTTCAGATATCTCTCCTCTGAAAGAGGAACTCCAGATACCGACACCAAAAGAACGTTGCAGCTTTACTTAGACTCCTCAAAGGGGAGTGAAAAGCACAGAGCGGGTTGACCTCTCCCCGGCTGCCGATTGGGGTGGCTGGGAGACAGGGAATACGCCTCCCCTACAACGTGCACTTCAGTGAGTGCGCACACGCACAAATAAGTACACGGAACCACACGTGTCCCCTTCCTGCTCCGGGAGCGCCACCGCTACCCGATTCCAGCGTGCACCCCGGCCGTGGCTCGCCGCCTCATGCTCGGCCGCCCAGCCGCGACACAGGCTCCCCCCGCCAGGCGGCGTCTCTACAGCTGCAGAGCACTCGCTCTCTCTCCTGGCTCCCTCCGGGGCCCAGGTGCCGGGCTTCCAGGTCTCACTGACAGCCATTCCCTGTCCCAGGGACCTCCCGGGTTCCCCGGGCCTGGTGCTCGTCTCACCCGTTCTCCATGGTGCCACCGCCGGCCTCTCGAGGAGTCCGCCCTTCTGCACTCGGATCCGGTCGGCTGAGCTGCGCCGCCCTGCGAAGTGTTGCCCTTGCGGGGTGCGCGCACACAGTGAGTGCTGTTACTCGCTGCTGGCTTATATCCCGGCCCCGAGTCCCCAGCCAATAGCAGCCGAACACGCAGGCCGGCCTCCAACTCCTTAGCGACACACCCAGATTCAATCGCCCGAGGCTGGGCTAACAACTTAAATATGCATTCTTTGTAGCGCTCCCCACCCTACTTCCTGGAGATTTCTACCACTGCATCCCTGCACCCACTTCCGTCCGTAGGGCCGAAGTTTCCCACTAGGAAGCCTGTTCGAGAAGAGAGCTGGAAGTCGCAGTAGAGCCCCGAAAACCTTTTATTTGGAACCCCATTCCCGGTTGTGTCGAGAGCAAACCGTGAGAGATATGAAAAGAGAACCGTTTAAACCCTGTATCCTGTAACTCCAGAATTAAATTAAGTGAGCCTGTGTCTGATATGTGTCAAGCAAAATTTGCTACGAGGCTGCAAATAGTTTTGCGGTCTTAGGAATTGCAGTTTGGGAGATTTAGATTTGGGAAGAAAACCGAATAGTGCTCCACTGAGAGGAAAAAGCAGAGAGTCTTTAATGGACGGGGGAGGGGGGGAGATTCCAAGAAGACTTACGTAAAATGTTTTGCAAAGTTATGATTGGCTAAAACAGTCTAATTTTTGTTGAATTTCCGACTTGCTTTCTGGGATTGCAGGAAGCCAAGATATTGCAGTTTGGCAGTGAATTATATTTAAAGTTCATGTTCCCTGCAGAGGTGGACTTCCATAAGCCCCGCTTCACCTAATGGCCTCCTGACTCCATTTTTCCCCACAGCAGTGACTCCATTTCGTTTTTTCTTTTCATATTTTCCTTTTGACCAAGATCTTTCCTTGGAAATCATTAATGATCAACCATTGTATCATGTGTGGTCCACTTATTTAGGAAGGTTCATTCCTAGAAGGTCATGCCCCACAGGAGGGAAAATGAAATGTTATAATGAATGTCACTGAGAGCCTATAGTCACAGCAACAAAGAGATTTTCAGGAAGCAAGTCTTAGGCATTGTCCTCATCTTAGAAGTCCATGAAGTTGGGGCGCCTGGGTGGCTTAGTCGATTAAGCGTCCAACTTTCGCTTGGGTCATGATCTCACGATTCGTGGGTTCAAGCCCCGCGTCAGGCTCTGTGCTGCCAGCTCAGAGCCTGGAGCCTGTTTCAGAGTCTGTCACTCCCTCAATCTCTGACCCTCCCCTGCTCACGCTGTCTCTCTCTCTCTCCTAGAAATAAATAAAACATTAAAAATATTTTTAAAAAAAAGTCCATGAAGTTGGTAATTGACTTATCTTCAGAGGTTGCAAATGGATAGCTGTTGTTGATCATTTTAAGCCTCCCTGTGTCCATAATTTTGACATCTTGGGTGGTCAAACAACAGGGTGACCTACAAAGCATCAGTAAGGTAATTATAATTAAAAAGGAACACATAAGAACAATAATAAATATGATCATTTGTAATCCAGATCTTAGCAGGGGAGTCCCTGCTAATCCAAATCCCTTCTGTTGTCGTATACAACTCAGGCAAGGGAATCTAGAGACCATTGAGCTCTAATGGCCTTAGCAGTGGATCAGGCTATTCTTTCTTTTCTTTACTTTTCTTCTTTTTTTGTTTTTTAAGTAAGGTCCAAGCCCAGCTGTGTCACAACCCTAGATCGAGACCTGTGCTGAAATAATCGATTGCTTACACAACTGAGCCACCCAGGCTCCCCCAGTTCTGGCTATTCTATTAACAGTCCAGGGCAGATTCTCAACCATGACTTCATTTGCAGCAGATCCTGC